AGCGCCACGGAGTCACTGCGGAGCCGAGGCAGGGACAAGCGCCTTCTGTCTATCGAGCAGGCGAGGGAGAGTGCAAAACTCCGCCAGAACAAGGAAGTTAAAAAGGGGGCCAAAATAGGGTACAAACCCTAGGGTGCAAACAAAACCAGGGCATTAACAAAGGGTTTCTGGTGGGTTTTATGATCCCAATTTTGCAAGCATCAGGCACAGTAACAGTATTACTCCCGATAAGGTATCTACAAATAAATTTCATTCCAAACTGTATTAAGTAAGATATTCTAGACTGAATACTATCATACAAAATAAACATTTGTCAATACAGGACAATTTTTTAAGCAAACACAACATCGAATGTACTCCTGTTAAGACAGTTACACAAAGGTGACTTATAAAACCCATTTTCAAGCCATTCCAAAAATATGATAATGTTATGCTCTATTGCGATAATGCAGCATTCTACTACTATATGACTAGGAGGCAGGCATACACACAGACATTTTTATAATAATGACACATGGACAGCTTCACATGCTATTGACTGTTGTGCTCACATAGTGCTTGTTTTTAAGTCTTTTCAAGCATTTACCAAATTCCTCGTAACTGCTGGGAGGTTTCGAACTAGGTAATTTGTAAGACTGTATTTTAAGTTTAAAAATCTATTTTTGTTCCAAATTGACATTTGCTTTTTTTTTTTTTAAATTTAGCTTCATAGAAATGAGTTTTAATTTTTGTCCCCCGACCAGTTCTGAGGAACAAGTACATCCAGCTGAGACCTTGTATGACATGTTTAAACCCAGAGCAAATTTTTACGTTCAAGGTATAAACCCCAGAAAATAGGGATTTATAATGAAAACACTGACAGGCAGTTAACCACGGCCATGCTGGCGGGTGTTGCTATACAATGTATCAGTCTTACTTTTATTTTCTTTCAGACCATGTGAAGAGACATCTGTAATAGTACATCTTTGGCGATACACATTACGGAAAGCTATGGGAAAGTTATAACATATATTATGGAAATTATATCTCTGAACATAGAAACATACAATATGAAATGTTTAGACATACTTAAGTCACACAAAGTTTGACAGCAGCTACTGTACTTTGAACACATGAGACTAAGGTCTTTTCTAGACTTTTCGTTGTTAAAGCCAGATCTGGCAAACACTACACACATAGATCATTTCACTGACATGAGCAGATTGAGAGTTCAGAGGGACAAATGCATACGAATAACTCAGGTATGTAACTGTTTGCAAGATCTGCTCCTAAGAGTAATCCTTTATGTTAATAGATTACTACTAAAACTTCAATTTTTTGTTCATTAACTATTAATTTCGGTTTTATGGAAGGACATTATACCGAAACTTGGAATTAACAATGTTTTAATAAAACAAGTTTAATAAAACTATAATATAGACATTTACTTAATAGACTTACACCATATGCCCAGCACCATCTTCATACAGATGTATTGTAGTTTAATCTAATCCTATAAAAGTATGGTTTCCTACTAGCAGTTATTTTAGCAATTAAACACTTCACAACAACTCAATATTATCTAGGACTTTATTATTTCATACAGAAAAAAAATACTAAGTCTACCCCTGTAATTTCTTCATCATTATTTTTACTTAATTTTACAAGCACAATAATTTTCTCTGATCTACAGGAGAGGAAAAGCCAAATTATCTCATGCAAAAAATGTGATGTAAGCAGCACAACATTCAAAGTGTTAAAGAAATAAATTTTTTTTTTAAGAAATGAGAACCTGTAATAATTAAAAGACACAGCAAAGCAAAATAAGCTATCTTTTTACTTTATAGCTTGGTGGTCTGCTACAGAAAACATATGTACATGGAATCTGCGTAATCATTACTTGTATCAATTACTTGCTGGTATGCACTAAAGCAGCTGAAGTAGTTCTTACGTTCAAAGTTTTGGAGGGTTTTGTTGTGGTTTTGTTTGGGTTTTTTTTAAAGATTTCATTTCTTTGAACTAAATCCTGGCAGGTGCTGAGTGCATCCTACATTTCCAAGGAAATTTAGAGCATCCAACTCTAATAAAGCAGGCTGAAGGAGCGACACTTCTGCATCGCACAACAGATGCAACAGAGCTGTAATCATTACTGGAAATGCAGAAACCTTGAGCAAATGTGAATGTAGCTTGTGTAGGAGCACAGATCGATGTGATTTTTTTCCCAGTGCTCAACGCTTTTCTTCAAATACTTGTAAATGTTCGTAAGATCTCAGGGTGTACTTTAGCTATGAATGACTCCTAAATGGGAAACTTTTCATACAGCTCCAGGCATGCAAACCAGCATATGCTTAGTGCCATCTACTGGGAGCGCCTGCTTATGCTCTGACTTTACCATGTCGGCTATAAAAAATGTTATGGGCAAAGCGTGCGCTAGGTTTGCACACATTGAAATGTTTAGTCCTAACTTCGGACAAGAAAATATTTTTAGAATGCAATTTGGAGGACTTTGGAAGGAAAGATCTGCACCCCGGGTGCTAATATACAAATAGAAAAAGAGCAAGCAAAACCACTTTGCTAGCACAACTGTTAATTCAGTTTATGAATTATCCAGCGTAACTCGCACATGCTTACAAAATAGTGTTTCAAAGAAGAGACAGAAGGTCACCCCTGTTCTAAGGTACTTCTTAGCATTATTTCATTAACTTTTTGAAAAAAAAAATTGTTTCACTTGCTTTTGATCTACAACTATGACTTTATACTAACTATAAAGTAAACACTACTTTGTACTACTTTGTTCCTTACAGGAAGGGCAGAGGTACCGTTCCAAGCACAGAAATTGAAATGACACTTTCATTCAAGTCTGTCCTGCAAATATTTAACTGCATGGAGTTTAAAACTGCTTTCGGAAGCCCAATTTACAGCTCTGCCGGCACTTTGCTCCCTTACGCTGAGCAGGCAGAGGTTCCGTATGGCATTTGCCATTCAACAAGAAGACAACCAAACTCCACGCCATTCCAGACCCGGTGGGCACATAGTGTGGTGGTATGGTTGCAGGGCTGCAATTCGCACAGACCTGGGTGGTGGGAAAAGTACTGACTCAAAGTGTTATGTTATAAAAAAGTAATGAGAACTTGGGGCGTTTTCTACACATCCAAAAGTTAAAGTCACAGTGCATTGTGGCAGTTAAGCAGATGTTGGCTCTAGATCTCACTCCCGTGCTATACTTGCAACCCCCTCAATACACCACACACAAAAGCCAAACCAAAGGCAAAGCAATCCTACGTTAATTTATAAGCATCTGGGGAATTTAATTACTCTTAAAATATGTGAGATATGTGATTGTATATTATTCCACTGTTAGCAGATGAATTTGGGTTTATTATATATAAATACATATCTACCTCTATATATAAAGTAGCTAGTCAGTGGAACTCCATCTATTAATCTTTGCAAAGTTATGGATCAAAGGGACAGGAATAAACAGTAGTGTTATGAGCTTTTCATTCCAAAATGTGACTACTGGATTATGCCAGGAAAACGATTGGACACAATAGCTAACACGATGCTTTGCAAACAGGTATGCAACAGCAAAACCTCCCACGGGCTGTGCTTCTAGCTGACCAATTTTGAGATCTCCTTTTCAGAGCAGGAACAAAACGGCCAGAAGACCGAGTGCCTCCATTTTAAGGTAGACACCAGCAATACGAGGATGCATCAAAAGGTGAATAATGAGGGCTAAGGAAATTTGCTTATCCTATATTTTTAGGATTTTAAATTTGGCTCAGCAGCAAATATAACAGGAAACCAAGGTCAGGCTGACACAATGTGGGCTATTCTCTCTCTTCCTCAATATGTGTTTGCAGCTCCTATCTAGGTTAATGGGAGTTTTGTGCACATGTGGGGAGAAACAGAACACAAATGCTGCAAAAATTGGACTCAGATTTAGTTCAAATAAAGTGTAATCAGCTTTAGAAAAAAATCCATCAGCTTGAAAACTGATGTCTTATCACTGGAAAAAAATCTTTAAAGCATCACCTCCATATGCTTGTTAAGTCCAGCCCTGGGAAATACTGCTCGTAACATTTTGCACCCTTATGAACCGGTTGTGAGCGTAGTACAAACAGCCCAGCTGGTTCTTTTTTGATGCTGCAAATACTGATCAGCCAGGATTGTATCTTTTTTATTTGGGTGTCAAGAAAATTCCTAATAACAGTCAAAATTAGCTCAGTGCAGCTTTAATTTTCTCCCACATAACCATGTACACCGACATTATTATGCAGACATTACAGATACTGTTGCTGTTTAAGCGAAACACAAAATACTGAGGTTCAAGGTTTTCGTGATATAACCAATCCACGGAGATGGGGTCTTATGGCAGAACCTGGACCTTACACGAAAAGTGCAGCTGCATCTGGGCATTAAATTGCATGTTTCCATTTATTTATTTAGTGAAGTGTCACATAACTAAAGAATATGCTGTCAGAGGAATGAAAGAATTAAGTTTGAAATTCTGCACACTTTTTGTACATAATTTTCAGTGCAACATATTTGATTTATAATAAAGATGTAAAAAGGGACACATGGAGTGTAACTATAGTATACTGCTAAAGAAGTTGGAAAATATTTTTAAGTCCTGTGATTTAATAGCAATCAATAAGCTAAATTCTTTTATGCATCTTTTTAAGAAAAGTATAAGTGGCATTTAATAAATTATTTTCAGTTTAATTCCACTGGTTTTGCCAAGAATGAGCAAAATAAATAATATAAAATTTAAGAGAGAATATATTGGGCAAAGAAGTCAAAAGAGCATTTCCAAGTATCCTAAAATCTCCTCTATGAAAACCCTCACTCAAGCCAATGACTTTTACAATAACAACAACAAAAAAGGAAACAAACTTTGGCTTCAAACGAAAATTTAAACAAACCAGAGCAACCCATAGCACATGGTTTCCTGCAGCAGAGACACCCATTCCTAAAAGGGCCTTCATTATGCATGACACAACAAGCAGCACCCATTCAACCTGAGGGAAGCCCACAGGCTCGCAGGGCCACTGGCTGGCTCTTTGTCACCAAATGCAGCAGGTTGAATGCAGACATCACTGTGATATCCTCACCAACAAAACCAGAGGCAAAGAACAGGGGCAAGAGCTGAGTAGGGAAGAAAAAGAAAAAAAAAAAAAAAAAAAAAAAAAAAGATGAGAACAAATTAAAACATCAAAAATGTTAAGATACATTCACAGAAAAAACAATGCTTACAATTTCATGAGACCACAATTTATGAGAGCACAATTCTAAACGCAGTTTTCTTAACACGCTTAGCCCATTTTTGATGCCCCCCCCCAACATTTTGCTATGTATTACATAGGATTCAGTGAAGCAACTTCCTATGCTACCAAGTGAGAGGGAAGGGGCATTTTTACAGGGGGCATTCACCACGGCTGCTTTAGATACTCAGCTGGGAGCAACTCGGGGTAGCAACCTATGCGATCAAAAGTGCGGCAGTACTAAGGGAGAAACCTCAGGACCTCAGCTAGATAGCAGGAATCCTGC